GGTAGAAGAGCTATGGAAGAGTGAAGCCCTACTTATAGGAAGTAGGGCGCGCTAGTATTCTGTGCCTGAGGCATGAAGGCAACTACAGATCATGTAGTTGGCGCCGTGATATATATTGATCTTAACACTTTGCAATATCTTGCTTATCACCACTGAACTTTTCAAAAACAATGAGATATTTGCGATGAGATAAAGCTTGTGAATTATTGTGAATAATAATCTTCAATATCTCAATTGTATTTTTCAATTCAATAATCTTTAATTAAACATTAATAGCTTGGGTTTGAGTAATAACAGTTTGAGCTTGTAATAAGCCTGCAATCGATTTGATCGATTCAAATACAGCTTGAGCAATAGCAAAGTGTGTAGTATTTAAATCATTGAATAAATTTGTAAAGGGAGAGATATCGGCTTCAGCGGAGTTGAGAATATGATTCAAAAAAAGGAATTATAGAGATAGGCCAAATACAAACGCTTCTGATGTAAGTGCTTGTTCACCCATCTTTGATGCTTTTTGAGGCTCAAAATATCAATAGTAGGGTATATAATAAATCAATAATAAGTGTAATCAGTGTGATTAGAACAAAACATTAATAAGGTTTTAGAAATAAAATGGGAAATAAAGCTGTGATAGCTTATTTGATGATAATATAAACTATTATGATACAGATAAAGACTTATATTGTACTATAAGGGTAGAAGAGCTATGGAAAAGTGAAGCCTTATTTATAAGAAGTAGGGCACACTAATATTCTGTGCCTGAGACACAAAGGCAACTACAGATCATGTAGTTGGCGCCGTGATACCCTACCTTCAAGCACATTACCTTCAATATCTATAATCGTATTTGTTAGATAAGCTGATTACAAGCCGGAGATACTAAAAAAAAGCCACATTTATATATATCTTTATTATTCAACTTATCTTCCTTATTATTCTTCTTCTCGCCAATAGGATCACTACTACTCCCGCTTCAGCTTGACTCCTTCTCTTCCTCAACAGAACACTTACCTTGCACAACAAAAAAGGCAAACACTCTCTTCACCACAAACTATAAAGAAATATATCAGCAAAGCAAATATAAAGAAAAATAAACAACTCACCGCCATATACACATCCTCCCACTACTTCAACTACGCTAACGACAACTTGCTCTTGCTGCTGTGTTTTTTTGATAGTGTAGAAGGTATATTGATCAAGGGATACGAAAAAGATAAGTAACCGGAAAAGATTTGAAAGAGAGAGGGAAATTCGGGTAATCTATATACTTCGAAGGCTTCACGCTATTACTAGGTTACAAAACGGTTTCCTTCATTTCCTATACGCCTTCCCATTGCGAAAAAAGCAAAATTTGTGTATATACCTGTTTACTACGCTATATTACAATATAAATAATAATGCCTTATTGGAATCGCTAATGTATCTACAGATTAGGTAATTGTAAAGCTTGAGGGTAAGCTTTTTCGAAAGGGGGAATAATATTACAGATCGCATCTAATCACAGCTGCAATCACTTATATACACACTTGCACATATGCACAATCACGTATACATAGTTAGTATATAGAAGCGCTCTACAAACGCTTTGCTCCCGATTCTATAGTTATAGATTCTAAGGATAAATTGTACCCTGCTCTCGCAGTTCTTCTAAGGCAAAGTGTCACAGATTCTGTCACCACAGGGATATACAGTAATTGGGTTGCAATTCTCGTCACTATAGTAATGAAACTAACGATTGTCTTGAGCACGAAGCTCTGTATAGTAATGAAATCCCATTCTCTATATAGATCTTCTTGCTCTACGGGATCCTATATCCCCAGGCTCCAGGCTCCTTGGATCCTAAGCTCCAAAAGCTCCAACGTTCAATCACATGATGCACATCACGTGCTCTAATGTTACCCTTCGTAACATCTAGATCAAATCATCTCGAAAGAAGTCTAACTACTTCCATATGACTTTAAAGGCAGCTCTCATAACAATTTTACAAGTCTTAGAATATATATTTATTGTAACAATCAAACCCTTGTATGAAATTCTGAAATCAAAATAATCATTATTATTAAAAGCTGAATATCTTAAAAACCCCCTCAATTTTGATGTGTTTTTACTGCCGTATTTCATACAGCCAGACCGGAAATTTTTTGTTGCGCTACTTCAATGTCGAACCAATCTAATGAAAATAACAAAGATCAAAACAAAGACCAATAATGAAAATTTCCGTTTGCTGTAGCCCGCATAGCATCTGTCAACATCTTATATTTAGATCTTTCGAAGACTCAACCTTGCGATTCGGGTAGTTTCAACAAGGGTCCTAGTGATTATCGAATTATGGCGCTTAAGGAGTTCGTGCTATTGGTGCCTACGATCAACCCTCAAAGCGTCTACAGTAAGCACAGCGCGTTTTCCCCATCTTTAAGCATTCAAAATCAAGAACTTCCCCAAGTGATTTCATACAACTATGCCAATCTGTTCCTCTTGAATATGGACCCTTTGAGTATTAGCACCTCAGTGTTGACTGTAATCGCAGCGACGATTGCAACAATAAAGACGCTCAATGAAACTGTAGGACGATACAAGGGTCGTGACAAAACGTTAGCTAGACTTCAAGGGGGCCTCAATGATCTTATCAGCATTCTAGAATCGTTGAAAAAGGCGGCTACCGATGATGCTCCAATCTTGGCACTTTTGAAAGGCCCTGTAAGTCGGTGCGCCCAGGTATCCCGTGAATTCGAAGCCGCTATGAAGACATTCGATACCAAGTCAAAATTAGGGTTAAAAGATTGGGCAAAGATGGAGTTTATGAGAGGGGACATCAATGAGTTTATTGATACTCTAGCAGACTACAAATCAACAATCACGATTGGCTTGGGGACCGTCAATATGTAAGCTTTGCTATATAATTGCCCTTGTTGTTGGTATCTTACTAACTAATCTTTAAGGCATGCTTCTAGACTTACTCAGCAGGTATTTGAGGAGTATGGTGAGATGGTCAAGGATACAGCCTACAACCTTGAGATACGTCTTCAGCGAATTGATGAGAAAATGGCGGTTCTGAGTTCTTGCCATCCAACTCTAGTTGAAGATCCAAGCATCGATCTTCAAGACGAGAAAGCTGTAACAGTACAGTGTCTTCGGATTTGTGAACGCGCAACATCTTACATCCAGTCCTTACAGGATGAACAGCCCACACTGCAGAGGGAAGCACTAGGAAAGAACGCCGGAGATATCTTACGTCAGTTCGAAGCACAGCTTTTAACACAAAAAACACTCACCGAAAATCGCGATAAACTGGCTGAGACAATTTGTCGTTTACAAGAGCATCTTAACTCTGTAGCATTCAATCGTGACGACGACCGTAAAAACGACACTTTACAGCTAAAGGAAGAAATCGAATTTTCAAAGCAATGTTTAGAGGTATGCAAAGAGGCTACCAATCAAGTATCAGCCCAAAAAATACACGTCATTGGGGAGGTTGTTGCAGATGGTGATTGTGATCAAGTGGTTGTGACGGCCATTGCAGATCTCTTTCATGTCGGAGCGGTGAAAGCACAGGGCAGGTCTATGCAAATGGTTGGCTCAATGCCGGCTGACACGCTCCGAGAGATGTCTAAAGATCGTTATAGCAGCCGCTTTGGTGCTCTTGATGGGAAGCTTGCAATTGCGCAATCTCTTGCAACCTCAAAAACAAACTCATCTATTATGCAAACCGGTCAGAGTGGGGAAGAAGCAGATTTAGCATCTACAAGAAGAGTGTACGATAGACCATCTTCTAATGAAATCAGAAAACGAAGGGCTGAGGGTGAAGATGGCATGAAGTAGACTAACTTCATGCATTGAAAGCACAATTGGCCAAAATCGACTGATTAGGTCAGATTGTGCAGGGCATACCGAAGAAAAAGGTTCTGCCGCTAGGACGTATAATTGTGACGATTCGTCACCAGAGTGCCACGTGACCATTATTAGTGTATATAGTTCAGAGCTCTTACATTTCTCTTCCTATTCTTTCTTCCTTTCTTAGCTTTAGATTTTAGGGTAGAATTGAATCCTTCTATGACAGTCCTTCATATCTAGATCAAATGAGCCATAAAGTATACTGACACCGAAAGGAATGAGGAAGCCGATTACATAGCAAATGATAAAACGACTATAAACCTGGGCAAAGGGATATGTGGCGCTCTGCTCATGAGAACTACGAAGTAGGCCGTAAGAACTACAAATTAGGGTTCCAAGGTATCCTTAGAATCTATAACCACAGAGCGAAGACGTTCGTAGCCTGAAGAGCTCTGTATATAAGCTATGTACACGTGACAGTAGCACGTGAGATCTACGCACGCGTTCTGTCGAGCCTCGTACGAAGACTGGTAGTAACACAACCGCCCCTTTTAAAAGGGTCGCCCTTGATCCTTTCTTAGGGGTCATACTCTGTAATCAATAAAAAGCCTTCATTATCATACGGTCGGGCGTAAACAAGGAAAGTTTTGCTCTGCAAGTTTGCTTTTTTGTGCAACAAAGCATTCTTAGGCGTCGTCACGCGTCGATTGTACAAAACCAACGAAACATATAAACAACTCTTCGAACCCACTTCTCTCGCAATATCGGATTGACTTCTTCGCAGTGCAAATAACCAAAGCACTCCTACGAAGTCCGCTCGTAAGAACGTGAACAAGCAACAGCTTGCTGAGGCTCGTAACAAGGTACATAAACTTGTATAGTGGTGTGCTAAGAGGCTAAGCTTATATCAGAATAACTTCGATAACGGATCTATCGCATACAGATTGCTATATGGAAGGCGATTGTTTGAGACATACCATGTGATGACGTCTAAGCCACAAGATTTACGATTTAACCTACAAGTACCTTAACCCTCCAAATATAGTGAACAATAATTTTGATAACGAAAAATTTATCGACATTGACTAATATCACCTCAAATTGATCTCAAAGAGTCAATCCATGTTGACATACTACATGATTAAGAAAATACATAGCACTACCTAAAAATGCTAAACATCCTTAATAAGGACAGTGAAATCCCTCATCAACGGTACGAGATTCAAGGTGTTGAGTTTCGACATGCCGACCAAGACTGTCAACACGAAGGTCATCACAAGGCTAACAGCGATTACACAGAATGGAGATGGGGCTCAAGAACCTTGATAAAACTGTCCTGTGAGCTCGATGAAAGGAAAGAGCTTGTGGTATTACTATAAGATGCAGTTTTCTATTTTAATATAGATTGGCACCTCATCAATTATGGGCGCTAGCGCCGAAGTGGTTGCAATTTTTTAAGTAACTGGTGGTTGGACTATTCAGAAATGGTTAAATTTTATAGCTAGCACGAAAATATAAGAATTTTCTACATGTTTGTAAGTTTAGATTCAATTGAATGCAAAGTACTAATGGTTTGTCTCTGTGTCTTTCGACTCAGGGACGGATGTCATGTGAGACCTTTAATGCCCAAAGCAACTATGATTTAGAAAGCTGTGTAGTATAAGCTGCGAGAAAAAATGAGAGGGGTGTTCAAAATTAAATGCCCACCTACAATTTTAATCTTTAGTCTTGGAATGTTCGGATACAATACTTGTGATAACGTGGTTTATCAGCAGTCCGCCCATATCACTAGTCCGCCCACTTTTCTCCTAATTCACACCTTCAAATCTATATTATTCAATAACAATTGAATTAATTGATTAAAACTATTAAGAATCTAATAATCTAGAATCGATTATATTGTTTTAACAAGTTCTTGAATTATGACCTGGTTTTCCACACTTACTACAACACCTATTAAAAGATACTTCCCTATTGGAATTTCCTTTATTTTGATACTTATTGTGTTGAATCTAAATATCAATCTTTTATTGAGATAATATATCTACAATCTTTTGTTTAGTAAGTGTCACGGGATCACCTCTGGGAGTATTCAGAAGCTTTACCGCTGAGCTAAACGCCCAAAAGACTAGGAGGTAGAACTGGAAGTTCTACCTTACTCTCACATATATAGCAGAACAGGACAGGACAGAAAGGGCTTAGTGTCACCCCGTGACAAACCTTGCCGTTCTATAATTGAATCTTTTCAATCACTAATCAGTATTAGATCGACCTTGTAAGGGGTATATACACAAAAAGTATATAAGAATAAAAGGATTTTATTATTCTATCTGCCCCCTTTATATGAAAAGGGAATATTCTAGGCTATATACACGTTCTACCCCACATACACACTTTGTGCGAAGGTGGGGTGAACGTGATCTAATCACGTGTTCCGATACTATTCTTAAGGTACTCATTATCTTCTGTTGCAAAATCGGATCGGTCCCTCTCATTTACAGTTTAAAGCATTTGGTCGGATAGCCTTAAATCCTAGTTGATAAACAATATAGAAATTATATTGAAAGAGAAATTCAAATTAGCAGATTTATTACTAATTGAATACCTTTGTAATTATAAAATATTCAAAATTCTTATAATCAATGAGGATTTCGAATTTATGTTGAGAATCTTAAAGCTTTGGATGCTATTCCTTTATAGACTTGATAATTACAAGAAGTTCTTTATTGTAGATTTCATAATTATACTTAACTACCAAATACTTTGAGGAAAAGTAGGTTATAGATTAAAGTATATTATCTGAATTATATTGTGAAAGGATGCTGCTAGATATCCAGTTTGATACATTTATTTCCAAGACTATCTTTTTATCGTAATTGAAATAAATAAAAATTAGTATTGTAATAAAAGAGTTTTTAAATATAAGAAAAGCGTTTTTTTAATTAATCCCTCAGATTTATATCAAGTCCTTTCATATTAGATCATTAAATAATCAATAGATCTTTAAGAAATTTTATATAAATCGTTAATAGAAATTAGCAAATTCTAGAAATCGTTATAGGTCTTTTATAAAAAGTGTGACACTTTGCCTTAGAAGAACTGCGAGAGCAGGTGTACAATTTATCCTTAGAATCTACAACTACAGAATCGGGAGCAAAGCGCTCGTAGAGCGCTCCTATATACTAGCTATGTACACGTGATCGTGCACGTGCGCAAGCGCGCACGTGAGCGATCGCAGCTGCGATTGGGTGCGATCCGTGACACTACCCCCCCCTTTCGAAAAAGCTTGCCCTCAAGCTTCACAATTACCTAATCCGTAGACGCATCGGCGATCCCAATGAGGCGTCGTTGTTTACGTTGTAGCATGGCGTGGTAAACGGGCGTGTGCGCAAATTTTGCTTTTTTCGCGACGGGAAGGCGCATGGGAAACGGAGGAAACCGTCCTGTAGCCTAGCAACAGCGCGAAACCTTCGAAGCATATAGATCGCCCGAATTTCCCTCTCTCTTCCAAATCTTTTCCGGTCACTCACCTTCTTCGTATCCCTCGATCAATAATCAATATGCCTTCCACACCATCAAGAAACGCAGCAGCAAGAGCAAGTTGTCGCAGCGCAGCTGAAGCAGCGGGAGGACGCGCGTGCGGCGGTGAGTTGTTTATTTTTCTTTTGCGTTTGCTTTGCTGATATGCTTCTTTACAGCTTGCGGCGAAGAGAGCGTCTGCCTCTTCTGTTGCGCGAGGCAAGCGTCCTGTTGAGGAAGAGGAGGAGTCGAGGCCGCAGCGGGAGTGGCAGTGATCCTGTCGGCGAGGAGGAGGATGATGAGGAAGATGGGTTGACGACGAAGATGCACGTAAGTGAGACTTTCTTTTGGTGTCTCCGGCTTGCGGTCGGCTTGTCTAACAAGTGCGATTACAGATGCCGAAGGCAACGTGCCTGAGGGTGGGGTCGATCTTCGATATGCTCATTGGATTGTATCCGTTCCATCGTCTTCCGAGGCAGAATTCGGAGAAGAATACGATCCCTTGATCGATCGTGTTGACGATTACGAAAAGAGTTCGCTGACAAGTTGACCGCAGCGGTACGTCATTTTCGTGATCTCGAAAATGATGGCGAGATAGTTGAGGAAGACATCCTGGAGGCCTTGCGTCAAAGTCAACCTGGTCGCAAATTCGATACGCCCCGTCGCAGAAGCGTTGGCTTCGTTGACGTCGACGAGTGGGGATCTCCAAGCAAGAGGTCACCAAAAAAGACGGTACCACAGCGGGAACAATGCGTTCGGGAGGACGCTGGGTTGTGCTGGCTGCGTACGCAGTTGTGTTTCCGGCAAGGGAGATGGCGTCTGCTATCGACTTCCTGGACAATCGTCTGGTCAATCTCGCTGTCTGCTTTGTCTGGCTGGCAAGCATAAGTGTGAGCGCTTGCCTGACGGGGATACGCGCAAGATGTTTCTCCAATACCGATCGGCTGTTGCTGAGTACGGCAACATGGCAGAGGTAAGTTACAACTTTGCCAGCTTTTAGCAAAGTTAACTCTTGAGATAGCTTGACATGCGGGAGGAGCTAAAGAGTCGCGTTTCGAAGAAATGCTTCCTCTTACCCTTGCTCGAGAAGCCGCGGAGCGTCGCGTGGCGGAGGTTGCAGCGCGGGAGACGAATTGGAGCAGCAGCACCAGCTCGTCGTAACTCAGATGGAAGCAGAGCTTTCGGCAGCTCGCGAGCGGTTGGGTGCGACTGAGCGCCAGCTCGTCTTGTTGTCGCGCGTTGCTGCGACTAAGGGTCTTCTTGTCTTTCGGCTTGTGGTTGTCCTGTGTGGGTGCTTGTCGTCGCTGGTTGGCTGGGGACTCCGGCTGGTATTTCGGTTTAAACCATCCAGTCTTTGCTGTCGTACTCGCCCGACCGTAACCGTTTATTGCCCGTAGATGCTTTTCTTTCTGGCTTGGTTAAGTCTTCCTGGCAGGTTAAAAGACTTTCTTTGTTGACATTCTCTTTTTCCTGTCGCTTTCATGCCTCTCGTGCGATTAGGATTTTCTTTGTCACAATAATGATTAATAGGTTCTTTCTGTCTTGTCATTCATACATTGATTGTTGTCTGTGAAATCGTAATCATCCTTTCCACTCTCGTAGAGACGAATCCAACTCCGGTAGGGTGCGTAGGGGGTCCTGGCAGAGTGGGATTTCGTAGGTGGAAGTCACGGAGGTGGTGCGGGGCAGGTTTTTAAGTCAGAGGCGGGGTACCAGGTGTAGATCGTCATCGGCGTTCAGCCACGATACTCTGTACTTAAGCTGTCGGCGTACTTCTTTACAGCTAGAATACGCTCCACTTCCCATTCGGTATCACCGGTGATATTTATTGGGGGCGGTGGTTCGAGGATTTGTCCGGGAAGTGGGTCGTCTGCCGCTTTGCGGAGCTTGCTAGGTGGAAACACGGGGTGGACTTTCATAGTGGGCGGTAAGTCCAATCGGAAGGAATCTCCGGCCCCGACCAATGATCTTGAATCTACCTTGAATAGGGGTAATCCAGTTTTTTGGATGGTCGTTGTGTCGGAAAGTCCCTCATACTGAGCCATACGTAGTCTCCCACGTCCGAAGTCGACTGAGCGGCGATGCGAGTTGGCCGATCGAGACATCTTTTCTTGCGCACGCAAGATATTTTCTTTTGCTCGATCGAGTGCTAGTTTTATTGCGTTTGGCATACTCTCTAGCATCGGTTATATTCAAATCGTCGACAGGCGCGGTGGAGTCGAGTTTCCAATCCCAGGAATTGCGGGGTAGGTAGCCATACAAGGTCTCGTACGGGGGTTTTGACCACCTAGTGATTCATGGGGAAGCGTGAGTTGAGCGTAGTCCATCATTGGTAGGAATTCAGACCAATCATCTTTGATAATAGCTTATAAAGGGTCGCAAGCGTTGTTGGAGATATTGATTATCAATCTCAGTTTGACCGTCAGTTTGCGGGTGGTGAGCGGTAGATAACTTGACTTGCGTTCCTAAGATATTATTGAATTCTTGCCAGATTTGGATATGAATTGAGGACCCACGATCAGACGATTTTAGTCTCCGGGGCACCGTAGTATCTGTATACATGGTATAGGTACAAGCGGGCCTGATCTCTCGAATCGATTGATTTATGACAGGGTATCGAAATAGCTTGTTTGGTCAATCGGTCGATAATGACGAATACGTTGTCGTAACCGTATTTATCCTTGTTGAAAACTGCAGTAGTCCATGGTGACTGTTGCCATGCTCGCGTAGGGATCGGGAGCGGGTGGAGGAGACCGGGAGTGCGATCTCTTGGTACGGAGCTGCGCTTGCATTTGTGGCATTCCGTATATATTGGTCGATTGTATCGTTCATGTTCTTCCAATAGTATTGATTGGCCAAGAGAGCGTAGGTCTTTTTGACACCAGGGTGTGGCAGTGGAGACTGAATCGTGAACTTCGCGAATCAAATAGGTTCGCAGA